CATTAGTTCTCTTGTATATTCCCCTCCCTCCTTTTTTCTCCATGTTTCTTCCTCTGCTAACTTCTCTCAGCCTCCTTCCATTCCCTAACTTCTGCAAACTCCCAGAGTCTTCTAAATGCTAATTCCTAAGTAGGAGAGCCGTATGAAGGAGACTCCTCATTCCCTTAGTAAGATTTAGGGCCTGAACCAGACAGAAGGTGTTTCCTTGTTGCAAGATTATGACCTTTAAATCTGGGCAGCAAGGTTAATGCCAAGACATTATTGGAAGATTCATCCCTGGGGCCAGCACAAATCAACTCTAATCCCATCGCTGCTCCTCATTCAAGGGCTGCTTCCAGGGTCACAATTTTTCATAAATACATTCATGGTTAATGCATGCGGAAAGGAGGTTAAGAAACAAAAAGGAAGAGGGAGGGGCTGTGGGGACGATGATGTCAAGAGAGGGCTAGGTAAGTGCTGGAGAAGGGCAGAGAGAAAAGCAGAGAAACCAAAGCATGGTGGAGGGAGGAAGAAAAGAAGCAAGAGAGAGAGAGCACACACAAGATGTTGTTTTGGCTTGTTAGAAAAAGCCAACACAAGCAATTGAAGCAGTGTGATTTCTTAATCAAGGCTTTATTAAATTTTGTTAATAAAAAGCTAAGTGCTTTTGGATAGAATAAAACACAGAAAGGCAAGTTCTTGGTACAGGAACATTCAGTGGAGAATTTGTGCATGCGTGAGCACAGAAAAGAACTGATTTGAGGAACAATGTGGAATTTAGATCAGGCCATTCTAATATAAAAGACGGAAATAAATGGACTCTTGTATACACAGTGACTTTTTTTTTCATTTATAGTGTCAAATGGCTGAGACAACTGGGCAAGAGGCCTGATTTCTGAGCAAAATTTGCCTGCCTGGGAATTGAAAGAAATGTGAAATACCTTTTGCTTCATTTCTCTTCCATGTATCCTATGCCAGTTTCCCCTGAAGTCTCTGTTCAATAAGGGAGAGAGAGCCAACAAAAAATAGTGAACTCTCTCAAATGTGATCCAACATTCTTTCCTTTCCCTGTGTCCCTACTATGGGAAAGCCCCACACCTCCTGAAACTCTGAGTCCTGCTTTTTCTGACACTGGTGGGGATCAACTGCAGTCATTCACAAATAAATGGGGTCCCGGTGACCTCAGAATCCCAAGCCTGTCCTAGTATTGACTATCATAGAAGTACTGACTATGTCCAAGCAGTAAATATTTTGATCTAGTTTATTTAGATGGGGCAATGTCCTCTGTTTGTAATGCAGTTACTGAGATCTACTGCAACTGCCAACTTTTATACTCACTCACAAGTAAACATCAATGCCAGAAGAACTGCCACCTAAAAGAAGTATGTCTTTTATAGACTAAGTTTAACTATCATTCCAGGAGATCTGTGCCACATACAGTTTGAATTTTAGACATAATCTAACTTCCTAAATTTAAGTTCAACAGAAAGGAACTCACTCTGCAATTCAAATGAAAAGGAAATCCATGCTGAGGTTTAGCTACACATGACATGTAGATATCATAAAGTGACTAGAAACTTCCAAGATACTCAAAATACTACAGGAACTCCAGCCTACCTGGATTGGTGTCATCTACATCCAGATACGTGATCCATGTATAAACATTGGTTAGGCTAGTAGTCAATGATGGCAACTGTTTGGCAGGCTGTGATTGCTCTTCAAGTTTCAAGTCCAGGGTCCAAATTTTCCATCTAAGTGCAGCCTTCTTTTGTGCTGAGCTCATATATAATCTCAGAACCCTTCTACCTACACATTAGAGTTGCCACTTGTGATAAAAAACCTACCTGCCTTCTTCATTCCAAGACTTTCCAGATCTAACCCAGCAGGTTTCTCTCCAAGTAATTTGTTAATGTTCATAACAACGGTCTCCCTTCTGAGTTCTTACTGCTTATGAATGCATATAAATGGTGCTTGATGTTGGGGAATCTTAGATGAATTATGAAAGATAAAAATGTTTATGAAATGCCAAGAAAGAACCCTTTGAAATTTTGGGTAGATTTCAGTTCGTGGGTGTACCCAAGTAGGTATTGGTAGTTCTCAAAAAAGAAGCAGGGTCAGGTAGGTTGCTATATCTAAACACAATGCTAGGTGCTATTACATAGAGATCAGGGGAGTTACTAAATAGTCCACAATGCATAGAGCAGATCCTGACAAGAAGGAAATATTGAATCCAAAATGCCAATGGTGGCCATTTGAGAGACTGACATACATGAAAGTTTCATATTTAGTGTGAGAAAGAATATAAGAGAGCCTCTGATGCAACTGTCTCATGGTATAAATAACCATGGTCCCAGTCAGGCAAAGACTCATGTGGATAGCTCAGCAGAATTAGCAGATAACCCCATGTATCTTCCTAATGGGACAGGAAAGCCTGCTTTATATGTATAAGGCAGCAGGCTTTCAGTTCCCTAACAGTCTGTTAGTAAAATAAACAGAGATTAGAACTACAAATGTTAAGACCATTGATTCTAAGCATAGATTGTTAGATTTAGGTTGTAAAGAGCAATATCACTATTTCATGTGGGTAAACATCACAAATCATTCAATTAATTGCAATCAACAAATATATACTTTAAGCTTTGTTGTGCTGCTACAAAAAAAACACATCATCAATATAAATGACCCCTGTTCCTTAAAATCTTCTACTGAGAGACAAGGACAAAAACAACTTCAGGACTGTGAAGTCAGTGCTGAAGCAGGAGAGCCTATGTGAACAGAGAGCAGCAGTGCCTAACGAAGTTATGGAAGAAAGATTCTTCAGAGAATGTGAGTTAGAGACAACCTCTTAAACAGTGGTTCTCAGCCTGTGGATTGTGACCCTTTGAGGGATCAAATGATTTTTTCCACAGGGGTTGCCTAAGACCATCATAAAACACAGATATTTACATTCAATTCATACCAGTATCAAAATTACAGTTATGAAGTAACAACAAAATAATTTATTGGGGTTCACCACAACTGAGGAACTGTATTAAAGGATCACAACATTAGGAAGGTTGAGAACCACTGCTCTAAAAGAAGAATGTAAGTTAGAAAGTCCTGTACCACTGCAGTCTCAGTTAAGCACAGCTAGTGTGCAGAAACCTAGGCACAGTGTATAATGGAGTCCATTCATACTCATACATACTATAGTCATTTCCTAGTCCAATAGACCATGATCCTTAACTCTAAAGTTGAGGAAAATGGGTCTAATTTCAGATTTTTCACATGATAGGTACACATTATGAAAGGATGCATAACTTCAAGCTTAAGGGCTAAATAGGTATGTATGTTAGAGGTAAGATGGCTAAAAGGATGTGTATGTTAGAGGTAAGTATAGCTCTCAGGGATCCCTTCCCAGGACTCATCAAGTTTTCCACTGCCAAAGCTGGACTGGGAGGACTCAGGAGAAAGCTACTGGCCAAAAGCATGGTATTCAATTATTAACGCAATGGACAATGCTCATTGCCTTCATATTTCTCACCCTGACGCATCAAACACCAAGCATTAGAGTGGAGAATGATACCATGTGCCATAATAAGACTCAAGGTGTTAAACCTGTAATAATTCCACTCTGAAGAACCAGTGCTCCTTCCCAGAACCCACAAGTAACATCTTTTCACCTTAGGAACTCCATAGACTCCCTTCCCCCTTCCCATTCAGCTCTCATTGCCTGTAGTCTACCGCATGCTTTAAAGCTGTGTTTGTGGGTAGATTTGGACACTATATGAAGCTCCGATCAACCAAATGAATTCAAGATTCGTTTTTCTCTTCAGTCTATAAAAGGAATCATCATATGTTTGACTTTTTCTCCATGCTTCTGGTTGACAGAGATGTATGGTTGGTGGAGAAAGAGGGTTTTTTTAATTTTTATTTATTTATTTATAAGTTTTATTAAAGTTCACCTATTACCCACAGGCCTCAGGCTCCCTATAGAGAAACAAATATCACCAATGAAGAATATGGTTTCTAAGGTGCCAAATTAAAACAGATGAAGCGGTAAGGAGAGGAGGAATAAAAACATTAAGCCAAGATTTCACTCCCAAGTGCATCATACCGTCTATTATATTGCACACGTGAAATTGACTCCCAATGTAATTAGGCTAAGGCTATGAGGCAAGAAAAAAAAGATCTTCACAATAATTCAGACCCTTCAAGCTATTCTTTTGCAATCACTCATATAGCTGGAGAAAGAAATAACTTTTTAATAAAAAAAGAAAGAAACTTAGCAATATCTACATTGTCCAAGTAATTCCCAACACCCTACCTTCCCAAGCACATAGAGTCATGAGCTAAGTTAAAAACCAAATACAAGAATCTGCTACCTACCCAGTTATAACCTTTCTTCCACTGGACAGTCCACAGACTGGGATTTATTCTAGTAATGCTGAAGGAATGCTTCCTGTGTCAGAAGGAATTGAAGAGTCCCCAGGGCTGCAACAGACAGCTTACTTCCCTTGTAGGGAAGGCTGTCTTTGTCTTAGCTATTTTTCTTGTTGCTGTGATAAAAATACTCTGACAAAAGCAACTCAAGGGAGAAAAGGTTTATCTTGGCCCAGAGTTCAAGGTACAGTTCATTATGGCAGAGAAATCAAGGCGCCAGGAGCTTGAAGCGGCTGGCCATTTTCACCCACAGCCAAGAAGCAGAGAGCAATAAATGATCTCTACCAGTAAATGATGACACCCATATTGACCAGATTTCCCTACCTCAATTAATTCAATCATGGTAATCCTTTAGAGGAGGCCAAGAGACCGTTATCTCAGGTGATTCTAGAGTCGGTTAACTTGACAATCAACACTAATGGTCATGTATTATAAGTGGACATGTCCATGTGGAGATATAATCACGTTCTTTTCTACAGCCATCAAATTCTTTTCTTTCTCCACTAGACTCAGAGCACTGCTCTCTATTTCTTCGTAGGTCAGAACAGAGCCATGGAACAAATGCAAAGAGATAACCCCCCTTTTAAAGGAATGCTTACTGGATTTCAGCAATGCTGCCAGAACTTCTGTGGCTGCCCTGGAGAGAAAGAAAGAAAAGTGAAAAGTCAATGTTCAGTGGTCTTTTTTTGTTAGCTCATGGACCCCATTGGCAGCATGTCCATGGCTGCCACCTATCAGACTAATTATTAACCACGTATAAGGTATTCTATTGAACTCTGCTGACCATTAAAGAGGCATAAATGTAGAAATCACATTAAGTGAGGTGTCTATCTTCCAAATGGGTCTCAGGGGGCCCCCTGCTGCTGAAAATATCCTTCCTCCCTCCTATTGCTTCCCACCGCCCACCAACTTCGTTGCCCAGCAGTCTTCTTTTTTTAAACTGCTGCTCATACCAGCCAGTGTGCTTGTCAGTTTCTTGATTTGTACCTGAAAACATGTGGATATTCTCAAGAATGATTGGGAGGAAGGGGAAGAGGCACACTGAACACAGCAGTTCAGTGCAAACTTCCTGAACCACTAGTGTCTCTGGGGATGCACTGGAAAACGTGCACCTATAGGGATGAGAGGCTGTTTCCTTAAGAAGGAAGACCATTGCTGGAAATTTTCCTCTAAGTGCATTGCTTGGGCCCACAGAAGAATCCACAACCTCTCCAGCAAAAATCAGAGGAGAATAAAAACATCTCTTGTTTCACGTCTTAGTGACCCTTCAATTGGTTCCCGAAATCTGAGAATACACAAAGCTATGCCACTGCTATCCTTTGAATACATCCTCTAAAACTTATTTACTGGGGACTTAATTCATGCATCCATGGTATTTTGATGTGAGGCTATGGAACACTGACTGAAATTACATGGGATGATGAGGTTAGGGTCCCAGAATTGCATCTGTGGCTTGATTAGCCTTGCTACTCAGTGTGTGAGTCTCTGCCTACAACCTCACATTTGCTGAGACCCAAGGAGAAATGTACAATTTGCAGCCAACTCCTGATCTCTTGAATTAGAATCCTGTTCTACCAAAGCCTCATGTGCACCTTGAGGGCTATTAATAATGAGTTTAGAGGATGCATCAATGTGATCCCTATCCACCCACCTGGTGATCCAGGAGTAGGTGGAGTAGGTGGCTTGCTGGAACAGTCACAAACCTTTCCTGCCTTCAGATTCACATATTTCCCTTCTCTCCTAATCTGGTTCAAAGACGTTAATTTGGCTGCTCTACTCTTTCCTCTAATTACTGAACTACTTCCCCGACTTCCAATTCCCTTCATGTCCTATCCCAGCCTAGTTCCTATGTTCTGTAGCACTTGGATACTGTAAATCTCCATGAAGTTATGAGTGGGATTGCAGAAGCCAAAATTCAAATAGGAAAAAGAGATGGCTATTAGTAACTAATGGGAGAGTCTCCCAGTGGAATCTGACCTCACACATCTTGCGATCTTCCTGGGCTGGTTTCACTGAGTTGAATGATGGTCTCTGCTGTGAGTTTGCACTAAGGGCTGTGAGTAACAGCCTTTCAATGTTATAGAAGTCCTGAAGAAAGAAGTTCTTTCTTTCTATTTTATTCTCCTTTTCCCATTCATTTGTCTTCTTAGCACTGCTGACTCTGTTTACAGTATTAGACAACATACTGCAAAGAACACCTCAAGGTAAGGAATTAGCCAATGAGAGATTCTGTAGGACAGTAGGAGGAATGGAGTCCTGGTTTGGGGCACAGGTCTATTCACTTGTGTGTGTAACATAGAAAGGACAATCCAATCCCTCTGGCCTGTTTCCCCAATCTTCTGAGGTGATCATATGACTGCTTCATAAGCCTTAGAAGAAATTACTAGAATCACATGTACTAAATCTCTTCTTAAAAATAACAAACAGCATTCCTCCAAGATTCATTTTGTGGTGCTCTCTAAGCCAGTGTTTTCCTCTGTAGGTATCACAGTCTATTTTCTGTTACTATGAAAAAATGCATGAGACTTCATAATTTAGAATGAACAGAGGTTTATTTAGCTCATTGTGTTAGAGTCTGGTAAATCTAAGAGTATGGACCCAACAGGTTCCTGATACTAGATTATGCCTTCTTGAGAAATAGCACAGCAAAGAACATTACATTAGCAAAGCAGAAAAGCACCTAACCTAGTCTTAGATCACCAGTCAGGTCTAGAAGGACAAACTACTTGGTATGACTTATTTTCATAACATTTTCACTATGGGAAAAGACATAAGACAATAGATTTAGGGGACACAGTAGAGGTGAGCAGACAGGAGGGGCTAAAGGAAAATTAGAGTCTTGCTGTTCAGAATATGAGTCTTTCCCAGGAACCTCATATTTGTTAAGAGTCCAACAGAAATGCAGAATATCAAGTCTGTTCCATGACCTGATGAATCAGAATCCTGTGTTAACAAATCATCACATGCGCATGGAAGCTTGTCAACAAATCATTCAGCCAGGAATCAATGGGCTTGGTCATTCTTTGCTTGTTGTTGGGGGACATTAAAGATGACTCCAGATCTTAATTCTCTAGGAAGTATCAAATAGCATGATGATATAACAAATAAATATGATGCCAAATGTTGACAAATGTTGACACTCTATGACATGGTCAGTGCTGCAATCAAATTGAAGCTGGTTCCTGATGCACAAGGGAAGATTTATTGCTTTGGAGGCCATGATTTGGCACTCGACATTTAGTTAGTGTCACAAAGAACACACTTAGGGAAAAATAATGGAGGTCATAGTTAAGGTCGAAGTCCAACAGTATAAAGAATTCAAATTTAATCCTTTAGATGAGACATTGTTTGTTTCCATTAATTAAAAGGTATGATGTCAGTGATGGAAAACCGAGATGAACACTATACTCACAAAACATAGTTACAGAATGCAAAAGAGAGGAAAGAGCTGAGTGACTCCCTGAAATATTTGCCTGGGTAAATCTAAGCATAAGAAAGTCACTGAGTGACAAAGAAGGGAAGGTACATTAGAGAAAACAATGGCTTTCATTTAGGACATGCTAGGTTCAAGGTAATCTATGAAAAAGCTACCGAAAACTGGTCAGAATACTGCTGTAGGCATTCATCTACAATTCTAGAGGGCACTCAGACGTGGGACTATTTATTTAATAATTTCTACAATAGCTACAGTAGTTTGTAGCCTGGGGAATGGATATCTTTAAGAAAATTCAACCAAAAGCAGAACAGAGGGTTAGCAAAAAAAAAAATCATCCACACCAAAGGAAAGAACGTGCAGCCAGGGAAGGTAGTGGAGTGGGAACTGGGCAGGAGACAGATTGGGGGAGGGATATTTGGATATTTAGCTTAGAAAATAAACGTTACTAGATGGCCTAGGTCCAACGCTTTCCCAAACTTCAATCTGTGGCTGTGCGGTAGGTTTCAAAAATCAGTTTTATTGGTTTTTAAATTTATTAGATTTGTAATAAAATATATTGAAGCACAATGTAATATATTAATGTCCTGAGAAACTTTTATGCTTTTATTTCAGTGTGTGTGTGTGTGTGTGTGTGTGTGTGTGTGTGTGTGTGTGTGTTTATTGGGAATATGATACAAATGCTTTGCTTCAAAGAAAGAAGTAAGAAGGATGTTGTTTGCTGTGTAATACCTGTGTAAGCTTTAAAGAAGAACAAATATCTAGAATTAACTAATGAGTAACTGAGAACATTCTATATTCCAGTGGTTCCCTGGCATATGGAACCCAGATCACTGCATGAATCCTACCAAGAGGCTCTTTGGCTTTGATCTCCTCAATGGGCAAGGGTGTAGCCATGATGCACTGTCTGAGCAAGGCTCCCCTGATCTGTTTCAGTGCAACATTAAAAATAATAACACTCAGCAGAACTCAGATAACTACTTTGATCAACTGATGCCTATACCAACAAAAAGGAACATTTAGTTGGGTGTGGTAACATAGCCTTGTAATAGCAGCATTTGAGAGGCTGAAATAGGAAGATCATGAGTTCTAGGACAGACTAAACTACATGGTGAGACCTCACCTCAAAACAAACAAAAGTAAAAAATTGGGCAACTGAGCTTAAACAAATAAGAAAACTTACCCACTTCCACTTAAAAGAAACCAAGACCATTGCATTGGGCAAGTGAACTGGAGCCCCATTTTGTGCCTTTGAGATACCATACTGCCTCCTTCTGGATGTGAGTATCTGGCAGCCATCATTCTGGTAGACCCACCAACTGATTCTAGGAAAGGATAGGCAGGGAATTTTTCCTTACGTTTGTCATTTCTTAAGTTCACCATTCTTTACAACCACCTCATGCTGTCTGAGTGCTGACTGGACTGTCTTATGGAATGGAAAGTAAAATCTTCCAGCTTTCTCTGTGTTCCTATTACCGAATGGGTCATATGGGAAATTTTCAAAGAATGTATTGATCCAAAAACCTACAACAACACACAAAGACAGTGGAACAATTTTTGTTCTATCCATTCTTCAAAGCAGAATACCCCAGGTCAAGATTTGGGACACCACAAATACTCCCATTTTCATAGCAAAGACTAAGGCTAAACTGTTGGCAGATTTATAAATATTCTCCTGTCAAGAATTTACAAAAGAGCCACAGAGTTGTAACAATGCAATTTACTTCCTGAAATAAATTTTAAGAGCCATTTACTAGAGAGTCTTTAATAACCGTCACCACTATTTAGGGAGCCTTTACAAGTGTCAAATGCTACATGTCCTGTATTCATCAGCATACATCAATTTTGGACTTCACAGGAATTACAGATGATGACATTACTCGGTACAGGATAAATAGCCCACCTAATGCCCTGCAGCTAGCTAGCAAGTTGCACATTGAGGCACAAGTCTCCTTCTGCCTCACTCTAAGCTTGGTCCTCAATTTTGTTCCACTTTCAACATAATTCTAGAATGGGTACAAAATAACTCTCTGTAACTTCTTTATCTTGCAGATATGGGCTAGAGTTTATGGTCAGCTGACAGAAGCAAGGTCCTAGGGTCAATGCATAACAATGAAGCAAGTTTGCCCAGCTGAGTCAACTGCTTGACTCAGCTCTATATAGAACAATCATACTACATTTGAGACTTAGAAATTCAATGGTGG